CGTACAAGAGGTTTCTAGTTAGCGGAACTTCGAGTAATCTTATTACAGCACGAAACACTGCAAAAATGCATGATCGCACGGGGCCCCCCAGTGCGCGTCGCCAATGATTGATTTAAGCACGGTGACGCCTTATTGCCAAAGAATAGTTTGTTGTTACGACGACGACACTGTTACGACGCGTGAAATTTGGATGAACGCTGATATGCTGTAGATGCTTAGTAGAGGGATATTGGAGTAAACAAACAAACTTTATCAACACTTATACAAGCTTACAAGTGATTCGTTGGGGCGACGGGATTAAGTCGGGCGATTGCAGCGACAGCCGCTGCAGACGAAGATTGCTGGTTTGCAGCAACACACTGCTGCAATGGACCGCGGGACGCCAAACACGGGACACACTGAACGCCGATGACGGACGCTGGATCCACACTCGACGATAACACGGAACACAAAACTAAATTGTACAACAAATTTAAAGGCTTAAATACTCATCATAAAGGGCGGGATAGATTACAGGTCCAACTGCTGCGCGATTCTGGATTGCTCTTTTGCTTCTCTTGCGCGCCATCTTTTGCTCGCTCTACATTTTACGCAAGTTGTCAGTGGCAATTTTTTCACGCCTCCTAAAATTGCAACCCTCTAGTTCTGATCTCCGAGTTTTCATTTTTTCCGGTAAAGTTTTTATGGTTTCCTACTTGAGACCTAGATCTACTCACTGGCTGAATTTTAAATCTTTGAATCGCACTTGGACTTGGAAATTTCAGTTTTCTAGCCTTAGTGATTCCCAAGTTAGGAATTTTTCCGCCAGAAATTTCGCGTGTCTGTGCAAGAGATGTAGGCGTACTTGGGAGCTGGATTTAAATTTTCTGAATCGCACATGGATATAGAACATCCTCCTAAAATTACAGTTTCCTAGGTTTAGGTTTTCCGAATTAGTGATTTCCTCGCCGAGAATTTCACGCGTCCAACAGTGAGACAAGCACGTGAAGGCTGATGTAATGTCTTTGCGGTCGCACTTGGTTAGGGAACACACTAGCAAAATTTCAGCATCTGAGCTTACTTGCTTGTCGAGCTGAATTATCTGGACAGACGAACACATACATACAGATGCATACACATACACCATAAGTAGTGATAAATAGCGGTATGTGTTTTCACGAAAAAGTGTAACGGTTTCATGTTTAGGCAGCCGTTTTTACAAGAAAGTCCTGCAACGTTATTAGCTGAATGTTTGTCTTATGTTTGGCACGTGTTAAGATTTCGTGGACTGATGTTGTGTGCTTTTCAGCACCAGGAGTGTCAGGGCTGATACTGGCTTTTGGCGAACACGGATTCAGCATCCAAAAACAGCTATTGTACGACCACAGCCTCACGTCGTCGTCACACAACGGAGCCCGAGCCCGATGCCACGCAGTTTCAGTGCAGCTGAAGAAAGGAAATCTCGTCTTCCGACAGCCAACTCGCAAACTCTACCCAAATCCTGTAGGTGTTTGCTTCAGTAATGAAAAGTGCATCCTTCAGGGCGAGCCCGACAGGTTTCATTAGATTGCTCATTTTGTGCTGTTCAAACAGTTTTCTATGAAGGCAAAGGTGTGTGCAGTCTGCGTGTTGCAACAGAAATTTGGTGCAGCACACACGATACAGTGTACAAAACAGTGCGGTGGGGAGGAAGGAAGATAGTCCAATGTAAATAAGATCAATGAGCACCCGAAATTTGCAGCTAATTTAGAATAGCCCCGCTTATTTTAACAGCTTAAATTATTCAAAAACAACAGAAAATTAACCGCAGGTGAAGAAATACTTTCGTTAAGCGCATTTCCGTTGCAAGGGTCAACCACTGGGTAGCCTGCTGGGCAAAGAACGGCCATTAATCTTTTGTATTTTCAAAAAATAAATCCTAGTACTGGATATTTTCGAGTTTCAGTGCCTGCACAACGCTCGACAACAAGGCCGACGTTGCCTGTTGCTCCTCGTCGAAGCAGCGCTGAGAGCACATCGAAAACTCGGCCAGCTGGCGCTCGGAGCAATTTCGTAACGTTAAACACGAAGACTGGAAGCAGCCAAACTGCGAAGAAGCCACCCGGTATGCTAAATTCCTGTTCTTAATAGAGCGAAATCAAGTCAAATAGCGGCGCGCACCAGGGTAACCGGTGCAGTCATGCGTTTTGCATAAGTCCCACCCAGTGGACGTTTACCTTCTAAAAATTTGACCGTTTTAAAATCTTGTGTGCGCAAAAATAGTCATTACGTTGTCTTGCTCCTAAGCTGTGAATTTCATATCCCGGTACAAGAAAGCTGAATTTAAAGCACTAAGCATTCTCTTAAAATTTCAGCTTCCTAGCTCTCGTTATTCCCGGGATAATAAATTTTTTCATCAAAACTTTCACGAAACCGTACGTGATACCCACACACACGGGAAGGCTGAATTTAAATTTTTGGAATCACAGCTGGACAGAGAACATTCTGCTAAAATTTCAGTCTCCTAGTTTTTTAGTTTCCGCGCTGAAAGTTTGGGACAAAATACATTCGGACACACACACACACACACAAAGATACCAGAGAAGGGCATGATAGTATGCGTTTTGTGTTGCTGTTACACAGCGCAAAACGCATAAAAAGTAGCTAAAACACAATCGGATTAATGCGTGGAAGTCAAACGGTTTCTGTATGAGTCTTAAAAAGCAAAACATTTTGACGTCAGACTTTAAGATGTTGCAGTTTTAGGACCACCAACAGCAACAGCTCCTCCAGTATCGACCAACTCAGTGATTACACGTCGTTCCTCAACATCTTCGATTATGTCCCGATCGATGCCATTAGCTAAAGGATCGAACGAGCTGAAGCCATCACGATCAGCGAGTTGCGTGCGATCGTCCAGCCAAGGCCTCATTAAAGTGCGCAGCTTCTCCAATATCGCCAAAACACCATCTCATTTGAGCGTAAAAGTGAAAACCGTTAACTGATATGCTTATTCACTTTTTTGATATTTTCTAAATTTATTTGCGGCTTGCGCCGTACACCCGAAATGGAAAAGGACAAAGGGAAAGGAAAACAAAGCCTGTGCTTCTGTATATTTTTGCTGGAACTGGGACAGTATCACAAGCATCGTCAAAGAATTAAAAGCTCTTCAAAGCAGTTTTCTGCACCATGTAAATTTGATTTCATAGATCTGAGGGAAGAAAGGATATGAGACTGATGCTGCATTAAGATTATATACTTTAGTTCACTTCAAACAAGCTGAGGATTGCAACTGTTTTGGAGAGTGCTACAGCGGTCTGATGCTATGAGGTTCACCTGTCCATATCGTGGGGAAGAAAGCCGTATCGTTTTGTTAATGATAGATTTGTGTTGTAAAGGTCAGATTCTGTACTACACTTATTACAGCAGCATCACTCACGTAAATTCCCTGAAAATAGTGTAGTACCCGTAATTTGCGGATGGTACACATTTTAGAATTGCTAGACCTATTCCGTAGCTCTCCTCCCATGGCACGGATAGGCCTATTCAGTGGGTGGGGATCAGCGAGCATTTTTTTGTCGTCGTAATTCCTAATAAATATAAAAACTGGAATAGTGGTAATTTTTTAAAAATGGCTATAGATAAAACTCTTTTTAGGAGGCCTCATAAAAAAGAGATGGTGGCGGCCTAAAAATGACATGTACAAAAATAAGAAAAAAAAATCATTTGGGTCAAGCCCGCAGGGACTCCGAGATAATCAGGCATTCTTCCACTGGTTTCATTTGTCGTGTTACAGTGCGCCTGTTGTGCGATCGATGCCTTTGATGCCTAGTCTGCTATGTGCCTTATTTGAGCGGATCTCAGAATGCATTCATCCAAACAGCAAGAATAGCTGTCGTTTTTCTGTATCAATGAAATAAGGCTGTATTTTAAAATTTTGCTTGTCATTACTTCTGTGATTTGGAAACAAATGTATAATCTATATAGCACAAGTAGCTTTGTTGAACGGACACCGTTTCAAGCACTGACATCAAACAGATAAGTGGAAATCTCTAGAGGTGTGCGGATAACATGTAATATCACGAAAAATGAACCTTGAAAGCCTCATGAAATCTTTACCACACTTTCTATAAATCCGGTGCATGGACCTGGTGCTCTGATTGAAGTCTGCTCAAGACTGGCTTTGTAGAGGCATGGAAATGAGGAAAGCAGAAAATCTGAACACGGTGCGTAACGGTAATAAAGCGGAAATTGTCAAGCAAATAAGTTGAACCGTCAAGAGCGAAAGAAATTTAGTCTTTGAGGCTGGTTGGAATGGTGTTCTAAGCTGAAACTGGAGGTACTTGACGACACTGATTAGTGTACGCAACAAGCCTTTGCGATCTGTTAGACAGTGTCGCTATGAAAAGTCGATGACAACTGCGCTCAAAAATTGGCCAAACCGGAGCCAAACTCTAAAGCTTACATCTTACAGCTTAGGGTTGAAACACGGACAAAACAGTTAAATGTCCAAATTGTTAAACCGAGAATTACAGTCCTTCTTCTTCCTCCTTCTTCTCCCTCGTCTTCGAACTAATCCTTGTTTTCAGTAGTTAAAAGAGAGTATTAATTTGGTACCGCATGAAAATGTGCCGATGGATCGAAGGAATCAATTGAGACGCTGGGCTAAGGCAGCAAAAGATAGGATTTATTATATGAAGCAAAGGCATGAAACAAGAGGAACGGTTAATGTATCACCGATGATAGAGGATTGTAATGCGTGATATCTGTTACAGGACTGTCAGTATATGAGACGCACGATCCGACTCCGTTCACTGACTGATTGTCCTAATTGCCTAATTGACATAGGGCAATCAGTCGGTGAACGGAATCGGATAAGTTGACAGAAGGCGCTGAGTCGATGAACACAAGAATGATAAACGCGGACCTTGGACCATCGGATCGTGCGTCTCATATACTGATGGTCCTGTAACAGATATCACGCATTACAATCTCCAAATCCAGGATTCCAGAGTTAATGCCATGGGAACCAGGGACGGATTATGCCGTCGTAGATACTGTCTACAGTGAGAAAGTCGGCGGGGAAAAGGTGGTTTGGAATGGAGAATCGGATTTTCCTGTCGGAGATCGGATCTCCGATAGGAAAGTCGCTTCCAGAGTTAATGCCATGGGAACCAGGAACGGATTACGCCGTCGTAGATACAGTCTACAGTGAGAAAGTCGGCGGGGAAAAGGTGGTTTGGAACTCTTCCCGACGTTCTACTGGAATATCATCGAAAGATGATTCAATTTTTGTATTTTTATACGTTTTTATGCGTTTTTGCACATATGTAAATTGCAAAAACGCATATTGGGAAAAGGTTGCCTGTGTGTGTGTATGTATGTGCGTGTGTGTGTGCGTGTGTGCGTGTGTGTGTGTGGCTGTGTGGTAGCACTTTCAGTCACCCACTTTCAACTCGACACCCAGAAAAGCTAGAAGGCTGAAACTTTGGTGATATGTGCCCATATCATGCGCGACTCCCCCTTCTCCAGTTTTAATTTCATCGGCCTTGGAAGCCTGGGTGCCGCGTACGGGAGCCTTAAAAAAATATGCAAATTTTTTGGCGGGAAAAAGATCTTGGGAACCACATGAGCTAAGGGGCTGAAACTTCGTAGGGATATTTACTTGTGCGTGTACTAGCTAAGGATTTCAAATTCAGCAACCAAGTATACGCGGTACTCAAGAACAGGCGTATGAACGTTTTAGGGGAAAAATTGCTAACTCGACTACCAGGAAGGCTAGAAAGCTGAAATTTTGGGGAATGTTCCTTTATCCAACTACAACACAAATATTTCAAATTCAGCTCCCAGCTATGCGCTGTACACAAGTAAGGGAGTATGAAAGTTTCTGCAGGAAAATTACTAACTCGGCAACCAGAAGAGCTGGGAGGCTGAAATTTTGGGAGAATATTCCCCATCCAAGTACAACTCAAATATTTCAAATTCA